ACCTTAGAGACTCATTGTCTAAAGATATAGTCACTCTAGATGGCATTAACTTGGCCTCTAGCACCACTGTCAGGAATCTTGGAGTTATCTTTGATCAGGATTTGTCATTTAACTCCCACATAAAGCAGACCTCTAGGACTGCCTTCTTTCATTTACGTAATATTAGAAAAATTAGACACATACTATCACAGACAGATGCAGAAAAACTAATCCATGCATTTGTTACTTCAAGGCTGGATTACTGCAACTCTTTATTATCAGGTTGCCCCAATAAGTCCATTAAAACGCTCCAATTAATTCAGAACGCTGCAGCACGAGTACTGACAGGAACTAGAAAAACAGATGACATCTCTCCTGTACTAGCTTCTCTGCATTGGCTCCCTATAAAATGTAGAATTGAATTTAAAATCCTCCTCCTCACCTATAAAGCTCTTCATGGTCAGGCCCCTTCATAACTTAAAGAGCTCATAGTACCCTATTACCCCACTAGAACACTACGTTCTCTGAATGCTGGGCTACTTGTGGTTCCTATAGTCTCTAAAAAGTAGAACAGGAGCCAGAGCCTTCAGTTACCAAGCTCCTCTCCTGTGGAACCAGCTTCCAGTTGTAGTTCGGGAGGCAGACACCCTCACCACATTCAAGAGTAGGCTTAAGACATTCCTCTTTGATAAAGCTTATAGTTAGGGCTGGATCAGGTGAGTCCTGAACCATCCCTTAGTTATGCTGATATAGGCCTAGACTATCGGGGGATTTCCCATGGTGCACTGAGCTACTCTCTTCCTCTCTCTTTCTGCACTCATTCATGTCCCTTTAATGCATGTTACTAACTCCACTTCTTCCCCGGAGTTCTTGTGCTTTCTCGTCTCGCAGGTTCTCATGGATCCTGGTGGAGCCTCCTGCCATGGTCCTGCTTGACTGCCATTGCCAATACTGTTGTTGCTGTGCACCTGTCTGTCTGTCTGTCGCTCTCTCTCTCTCTCTGCCTCTCTCTCTCTCTCTCTCTCTCTCTCTCTCACCCCAACTGGTCGAGACAGACGACCACCCACCTAGAGCCGGAGGATCTGTCCTAGGTTTCTGCCTTTTAACAGGCAGTTTTTCCTTGCCCTTGTCGCCAAGTGCTTGCTCATAGTTGTACTGTTGGGTCTCTGTAAATAATGTTAAAGAGTTCGGTCTAGACCTGCTCTATTTGAAAAGTGTCCTGAGATAACTTCTGTTATGAATTGGCGCTATACAAATAAAATTGAATTGAATTGAATTGAATGTTTCTGTGCTGAGGACAGCTTATCAAGTGTTTCCACGTCTTTTTCAGCAACAGGCTTAAACAGTGCAGGCCTACTGCCTAAAACACTGATGGATATCATTTTGCCCACCTCTGGAGAAATCACATTTCCATCGTTCTTCTGGGGCTGTAATCACAAAACACACTAAGGCTAAAAGTGGCTCCTATCTGGCAGAGTTAGGAGGAAGTCCTGAGGATAACAGACGTGTCAGTCCTGTTCCTAGAGTTATTCACAAAGTGTTTTAGCACTAAAAGTCTGAGAGAAGTTAGAGGCAGTCAGCTGCTATGGGTGATGAACCTCATCAAAACAATCCAAGCTGAAATACAACAAAATGGAAAACTGGAAAAATGTTGTTGCTGTGGAAAATCTCTTCAAACCAAAATTACACACTTCAGAACCAAATAAGTTTGACATTTCTCTGAGTTTACAATAAGTAATTCTAACTGCATTAGATTAATGAAGCTGATTTCACAGCTGTTTCTGGATTACCTAATAAAAATAGTGTGATGTAGAAAATCCCTCATCAAAGATTTTCTCCTTCAAGGTAATTGAATTATTCTTTATACTAACAGTTAAGAGTTACTTTATCAAAGTAAAACACTGGCACAATTGTCTAACTGCTCTGTATTCAAATCAGAAGCTCATTTGAGTAGCTACTACCATAGAAGTCCTCTGTTAAAATAACAGCAGAGAAGATAAGGAGTCGCATGGTTGAATTGTTTTCATACCTATCATCTGTAGATATTATTTTATGACACTACTCCTCCTCTTCTTACTCAACAGAAAAACTTCAAGCTTTTAATCTTTATTTTTAAAATAAATATTAAGTGAGCATAAGTGCATTGTGAGTCCAGACATTAGGTCTATTTAAACATTTTGTTCTGTTCTTTCTTTGCAGCTTTACATAAATTATCAGAAACAAACTTTTTATTGTTATAAACCAACTTATAGAAAAATCCTTTGTTTTCTGTCTTGAAATGTATTGAAAAAAACAACAACTTTATATTCAGGATTTTAAAATGCTGTCGGGCAGAGCAGGTTTTATAGCTGTGAGCCAGGACCCTCATACTCGTATTGGAGGTTTTTATTTTTACATTAGGTCTGTCAAAGATATTATCCATGTAGCTATTATGATCACTATAGATATTCAGGCTTTAAAAAGGACCCTGCTTGGATCTGCTTTCTTTTCTTAATTTTACATTAATGCACTTAATTATTTTATTGTTGAACTTAAAACTGTTAAAATTGTGTCAACGATTTTTAGATGTTTCATATAAAAAAAACAACAACAGCTTCTCACTGTTGATGATGTTGTTTTACTTAAACTGAATCCAATTGCAAATTAAAATGGAAAGGTTATAACTGTGTGTACCCAGCAGGGGGTTGTGTCACCAAAAACAAACACAGACCATACATCATTTGATCTCATTGTTCAGAATTTCCATATAAATTGTAATGTCAGTAGTTTGTAATTTGGTTTGAGTGGGTTGGATTGCTTTGTTTTGCAAGCTGTCAGTCAGAAAGTATTTTTTCTGTTAAGGTTTCTTCTAGTCCTCCAGTTCTGACTCCATTAGAGGAGATTCAACTTTATTCTGAAAAGTGCTACAGGTTGTAAATAGAGTTTTAACACAAGCCATGTTAATGTTACTGTTTCATTTTGATAGCAGTCCTGTCCAGTTAAGCACTGTAGGCACATACAGTGCTGCAGCATTGCCAATGTGACTTGGCAGCTTGACCACTAGATGGTGACATTTATTTTGTATGCAAACAATGCATTGTATTACTTAACTTACATTTTGTGTGTGGGTGTGTGTGTGTGTGTGTGTGACTCCCCATATTTAGCATTTAGAAGCAGTATATACACATTTAATAAAGGCTTAAGATACACTCTAAAGTAGTTTTAGACAAATATAAGTGTTTCTTTATGTACTTATTAATGTACTAGTGTGTAGGATTTAGTGGCCTCTAGCGGTGAGATTACAGATTGCAGCCAACTGAGACCCCTTTACTCAACCAAGCCTGTAGGAGAAACTACAGTGGCCACGAAAAACGCTAAAGGCCCTATCTTGAGCCAGTGTTAAGTTTGCCCATTGTGGGCTACTGTAGAAACGTGGTGGGCTCCATAGAAGAGGACCCACTGCCTCTGTAGGTAAAAACATCTCATTCTATGGAACTGAAAACACAACGATTCTTATATTTGGTGATTACATATAAACATACCTATGAATATTATGTGTTATAGATCTTCCTAAATGTTACACACTGGACCTTTAAAGAGCGATCAGTCATTAGGTCTTGAATGATCTGGGTTTTGTATTTTTTGTATGCATTTTCTTGTTGTTCAAAGTACTTTAAAGACCCCTTTAAGGACAGACATTGCAAACTGAGGTTATAAATGGTGTGGGATGTGGGTTTGGTTCATGCTATATACTTCTCCATATACAAATAAACATTAAATAACTTGTTGCAGATTTATTTTAAAAGGAACTGACACCAAAACCTCACATTTACTGTTGATATCTTAGATATTTAAACACATTCTTTATGCAGATAATTACACGTGCTGTTAATAATGTGACAGAGGCAGACAATGGGAGAAAGGATAGGAGGAGGTAATTCAGTAGCGAATGACACATATGCAAAAGTATGCAACATTATCACCAGGCTGATTTGTTTAGTTACCTCTTCTCTGAAACTTTCCCTCAGTTGATCATTTTAACTCACACACCTTCACTCTAATGGATTCATCCAACATATCTCTCATCTATAATGAGCATAACTTAAATATAAAGGTTGTATATTTATAATTTGATTGTTTTTGGGTTACACTTTTCAGGCCTTTCACATCTCCACCCCCCACACAGGGATAAAGAACAGTTGACAAAGATTGTCTAGTGACAGGATGGCTCACTCAGTAATATGAAACTGGCAAACTTTTTCTGCAGCAGAAGGTGACATCACTTCCCCTCCTGTATTTTGGACTCATGTGTCTGTCTGTCTGTCTGTCTGTCTGTCTGTCTGTCTATTAAAAGTGTTGACCATACACACCACAGACTATATAGCACACTCCCATTCAGACAACAATAAAAGTATATCAGATGATTAGTAATTTACACACAATGTTAAGGCCTACCAGATCGAAATACATAAGTTTACAACAACTTAAGTTTAGTTTTAGAAGAATAAAGTGCTGTTGTTTGACTGAATATTGTATTTCTGGTGTTGAATATTATCCAGGTAAGGAACTGACTCCCAACATCACTGTGTTGTTACTTTTATTTTGGTATTTCCTGTACGAACGAAAGTCTTTTATTTTGAACTTCACAGTGAAATAGGAGGGAAAGGTTAGGAACTTTTAATTTATTTTTTTTTTTTATCTTTAAAGACACAAAAATGCTTTTAAGTGGGTAACAAAGTGAGTTTAGTGTGAATATCCGTTCAGAAATACTTTAATGTTAGGTAGCTCACGTGTTGTTGCTTAGCAACGTTACAAGTTAAGCTCTGGTTCAAATAACGTTAATTTGTGAAAAAGGAAACGATAATGTAACTTAACACGATATTTTACGGTTACAGTATAACATGTTGATAATATTACAGTTTAATTATTTCGTCCAGCTATCATTATTATTATTATTTTTACATTGGCGGGCCAAAATAAAGAAACTAAAACAGAGTGAGTGCTCCCGTTCAGCGTAGACGATCTTTGTCTGCGTGGTTTGCGCCAGTAGGAAGCCGCGTGTTGAGTCTGCGGGCGGCGGTCGATCTGTTGGAGGATCGAGCACCAGCGGACCGCCATGGACAGGACCGCCGTGGTGAAGGTCGGGGCCGCGGCCAGCGCCAGCGTCTGCGCCCTGCTGGGAGGCGTAGTTCTGGCCCAGTACATCGTGGCCAAGAAGAAGCGAGCGGGCAAGAAAACCAGGATCATAGAGATGGTGAGTAAAAAAAAAAAAAACATCCGCGGACATTACAGCTGCGTCAACAGGATGCGGGGGAGGTGCACCTTCAAAATAAAAGCCTTTGACAGTTGAGCATGTTACTGAGAGCAATATAACGATTAGGATCTGTTTGTATTTTAAGTTTCAGGGTTATTATAAGTAGGGCTGCACAGTTACGTGCAATATTATCGAAATCTGAAGATTGCATTTCTCTAGATTTAGGAGAACATTTGGTACAGACTCCCTACTATTACATCATTTCAGTGAACATTTAAATTTGTGTTGCAATTTGGCTTTTTTTTTTTTTACCATATCGTGCAGCCCTAATATAAAGTAGTAGCAATGTAAATCAGTGTTAAAACTTTGGTTTGCATGTCTTGATTTAAATTTAAAGTGTCATCATTTTAACATTTCATTGTATCATATGTGAACAAATGCACTAGTTGGTAAAACCTTTAAAAATAAACTATATTTAACCTATGTGTTAAATAATCAAACCCCACCACTTGTTAAAAATGTATATAGAGAGACACAAGTAAGGAATTAAATATTATTTTTGTGTTGTAATGCGACACATGTGTGCCTTTTTTTTAATCTGAAAATCCTTCCCGGAAATATGCCACCATGTCCTTGACATATTGACAGCAGTGGAGCTGCACGATGCTCTGCGCAGTCGCGAATGTTCCCTAAAAACAGCAGCTGCTTTTAGAGGTCATCAGCTAGCTGCTGTCCAACAGAAAGAGCAGCAGCTTCTCTGTTTGAGGCACTGTGAGCTTTGACATCTGACCCTCTGCTGCTCTTTCACTGCCATGGAAACGGCTCCATCCTGCTGCTGCTGCTGTTGTCTGTGGTTGAACAGACAGCATGCAGGTTATGCAAGCTTACAGCAGCACATACAGCAGCACATACAGTACCCTCTGTCCAGCTTTGTAACCTGTCCGACAGGAATCTGGCTGCGGCACAAACACAAACATTCCTCACAAACTGCAGAAGAATATGGGGGAAGAGCGGCCATATGTGAGAGAGTTGTGTGATTGGAGTACAGGATTGTCTAATTGTTTGTGTTATTTCTGTCCAACTAAAACTCGATGAGCAGAGAAAAAGAAAACTAATTCTTACCTTATCCTATTTGCTAAATATTGTGTCCACCTTTATATGAAACATAGCTGTAAGAAAACTCTTTACGCACACAGGATAGATAAGATATTTATCTTTCTTGAGAACTTAATTATAGTTATTATTTTATTACCCTCTATTGAACTTCAACACCTTTCCTTAAATACCCACGTGAGGATATATGTAGCTCAACAAAGCTGAAGAATATACGTATTTATTTTCATGGATGTTACATCTTTTTACCAGAGCCTATAGAGGATATCTGGATTTTGAATCTTACGTTGTGTTAGAAGGTGTTGCTATATACTGTATCTCCACTACAATCTATATGATTCATGTCAGAGTTATTTGGCTCCACCTATGCAGATGCATGTTTGTATGCAGGGTTTTACCCACACAGACACACACAACCTCACACACCCTCAAATTCAGCTGCCGTTTTTTTTACATTTTATCATTTGGGAGTAGAAACAGCAGTCAGATGCTCCGGCTGCAGACAGACATTTATTGTTTTATTGCTTGTAATTTCCCTGGTAGGTAACCTCCTCTCATTATGTTATTGTAAATGTGCTTTTATCGCCGTTGTGTTGCAACAGTCTGGAGTGTGAAGGTCTTACAGCAGCGTGTCTGCTTTGTGTAAAATTAGTTTTTAGTGACTCACTTTCCTCACAAGCACTTATTAAAATCAGTAAAGTAAAGCTTAATTCCTTCCTTAGCATTATTACAGGTGTGAGGTTACTGAGAGCTTTGACCCTTTGACTGCTTCACATCTGGTTGTTTGCATCATTGTTGATTTTAGGGAATAAAACCTTCAGCTGCCAGTTTGTGAAATAAAAGATTGTGAAATAGAAGTTGTGAAATGTATCAAAGTTACCTGAATGGGAGGGTCAGAGATTGAGACATGAAACTGTGCTTCTTTTAATCTGGCAGTTGATTTCTAACAGCGTCGGCCTCAGTGTGTGTGTGAGCGACTCCGTTGCATCCGCTGACGTCCATTTATTAACAACAGAGCGAGCGGGAGAAGATCAAGGGATGTGTCTCGTGATTTAATTTCATTAACGGAGATGTACAGTCAGAGCGAGGCTGATTCAGCCATCCAGAGCTTCCCTGCTCGATTTCTATTGAGCTTATATTCAGTTATAGTTTCAGTTAATGCTGCCAGTTATTTATGTAATGTTATCAAAGAGAGTGAAAAACCAGCGCATCAAAAGAACATTATTTCCTGGATTAAACCTGCAGACTGTAGTCAGAGTCTCTGGAATGAAATAAGCTAAAATGACAACCAAGCTGCATGGCAGTCAGCCGCCTTGTGTTTGCTCTTCTCTTCTGCAAATGCAGTGATCTGGAGAGTTTTGGGATGTAGTAGCCCACTGCGGCTTCAGGACAGAAACAGTTGGCTTCCTGTGCCGACTTTCAGCTTGGAAACCCGTGAGCATCTGCTTTAGATGATGCTACAGAAGCACAAACATCCGCTGTGAACCCCGGGAATCCAGAGCCACGTGACAGCAGCAGCTCAGTGAGGACATTCCTCCACTGAGCCAGTTTTGTGACTCTGGTAGCTCATAGAAAAGCCCTCGGTGTCATTTCATGAATACACAGAGATACAAAGTGCATTCCTAAATTCTTCTTCTTCTCGTTACCAGCTTGATTTTGTTCACTGGTTACTGGTTGTTACATGTTTGTCTGTTGGCTCACACTTTCAGCAGCATCGAACCACCAACCCGATCGTCAGAAATTGTAAATGCTTTTATTTTGTGGCTTGGTTGTTTTATTCTCTGTATACAGGTGGCTGAATGTAGTTCATAAAGCCTGCATCACTTCATCATGAACTATGCATCATTAAACAAGGAGGAATAAAACTTGGAAAAATATATGACTGAGAGAAAGTTCTGTCCTGTATTGTCTGGAAAATGTTAATTTTGTAATTCACTGAAAAGCTCTCCTGCGTCTTGCTTCAAACTTGTGTTATTGGATGAGAGTTTTGGCCGTGAAGGGTTTGAAGAATGATTTGTGAGTACGCATAGATTAATACTGGTGTTTTCAATCTAATGCTGTAATCTGAACAGATATCATGTGTAGTTGAGAGTTCAGTCTGCAGACTAACTTTACTGCTGAACACCGCTGTGCACTAAATATATCCGGTAACTATGATTAGAAAGACAAGTGTGATGTTCATCACGTCAGACATGTATGTTGCTCATAAATCAGATGCTCACTGTGTCAGGGACATATTAGTCACAGCCGCTCCAGACGGTCTGACACAAGCTGACACTGACCCCGCTGTGTCTCTTACTGTCCATTAATCGTCCACAGAATCTGTCATCATACTCCCACCTCTGTCTCTGAATAGTTCCTATTATTGTTACTAATTTATGTCATTTGGTGTTGAAATGTCTGTCACATTCATCACGTTTCCAAAGCCCAGAACGGCGCTGTTAATGAGTGAACCGCCCAACCCCGGCCAAGCACCTGCTGGACTCGATCAGACACATCCTGATACATCTCAACCTGTTAACCATGTAGTGACCTGATGTCTGTTTTTAAAGCTCAATTTGCTATATAATGTAGCACCGCTTCTCATTTCCCCCGAGGTTTAATGAGCCTAATATCTCATTAAAGATGATGTAAGCTGAGGTGCTTTTTAGTTCAGGCAATGTGGGAGACCTCCACTACTAAATGCTGCAGGAAACCCTGATTATAAAAGAAACAACTGACTGGTATTTATACTAACATAACTGATTAGAACTAGTAGAAAGCTCTCAGATCTGTTAATAATCTTTTGCTCGATGGACTCACCGCTCACTCTCAGGCAGTTTTTGTTCTCACATCGACTGGTGTAAGGTTCAAACCTGTGACCCTTTGAAAACAGCGTGAATGCTACGCTGCCCTAAGTAGATTGTGTCGAGGTGGTTGAGGTGAAGTTATAGACCTTTTCCCTACAGAAGACATTTTTTGATGACATTAGGTGAAGGAGAAACCTGGAGTGTGTTTCACCCCGTCGACCTCTGGAGGGCAGAACAGAGCCACACTTGAACTGCAGGTCTTTGGGTTTCTGCTTTACAGTAATCAGCGCCACTCCGATCTATATTTGTAGACAGTAAGACCAAAATGTGTGTGCTTACATTGTCTTTAATGGTGATTGCACTATTCTGAATTAAGAGCAGAATGTAAAACCCCTAATCTTTACAGGTCATAGAAAGAAACTGTTTTGTAGGTGATATCTGATGATACAATAGATGAAGACAGTTGAGTGTCCTCTACAGATAACAAAGAAGCGGACAGAAGTATATAGTAGTAGAGTGATTTACAGACTTCCTTATTTCCACTGTACAGTATACAGTAGTTTCTGTAATATAATCAGCACAGGGCCTGTACACATACTGGGTTTATTATTAGTTATTAGTGTTCCCAAGAAAGTTTTTGAATTGAAGCTTTCTCCTAGAATCATTTTTTCTATTAATTATTTATAGACTTCTGTACAAAGATGAGGAAAAGGAGAAGAAATTCTAAATGTACAAATAAAGAACATGTAAATTTTTACCGACATCTTGAATGAGAACATGCATTATATTTTTGATTACAAACACAAGTGACTCCGATCAGTAATATGGACCTTTTCTTTTGTCACTGATGAATGATGAAGGAGTCCAGGAAAGGTGATGTATGAGAGGAACTTAAACTGGAGGGTGAAGTCCACCTGAACTCCAGTTGTCAGGCTGCTTTATCACTTAGCAACAGATGGCTGTCACCGTGACAACCAGTGTGGGCGGGGCCAGAGGAAATGGATGAAGGGCCTCCTTGGAAAGGCAGGTACTGTGTCCTACAGTAATGATACTCAGGCCTGTCTCAGCATTATTACAAAATTATCAGTGTTCACTATG